GCAATACGGAGATCTCCATCACTATCACCATACTAAGGCCAGGTCTCCAGGATACATGAAGTCTAGGAGGATCCTCTAGTGCTCATCTTGATTGAAGTTCTTGTTTGTACAGGCCCCATAGTGATGGGATAAACTCCCAACTACAGTCAGGACAGTAGACATACTGCCTCATTTCTTCTTCTACTGTAGCCCTGCATACAGTCTTGGCTCTTGGTCCTTTGGAGGCTGAATGCAATTGTCACAAGTTGCTTTGGACAAAATCATCTATCAAATCAATATAATGAAAACATATGATTGGAACTCAGAGATTTGGCTTGGACTTCATAAAGAATAAAGGAGTAGGGGAGAAACAGCGAAGTCATTTTCTGACTACTAAAGCATCTCTTTTTACAATTCAACCAAATCTTACCCTCCCCTGACCTCCTCCTCGCTCATCTGTGGACTTTCTCCCTTCCTCATGTCTCATCAACTCTTCCTCTCTATGTATCTCCATGCGTTCTTACAGTGTCCCTCTGTCCTTCCTCCAGCTCCACTCATCAGAGGTCACTGTTGTTTTTCTGATTTCGGTTAGCATGTCTGTATAGCATGTCTGCTTGTTGTTTGCCTCTCTCCGTTTTTCTCCATCTTTCATTTCTCCCTCTCACTCTCTTTCTTTCTCACTTGCCCTCCTCCCTTTTTGCTTTCTCTCCCTCTTTTTGCCCAAAGTTCTGCAGCCCAGCTGGCATGGTTTTCTAGTGGTGTAGTAAAATATAAATATAATAAGGACGTTTTTGAGCTGGTGAATCCATTCTGAGCAGAGAAACATCACCACAGAGTCCACAGATGTGGCACACACTCAGGAGAGAGAGAGAGAGGGATGGAGAGAGGGAGGAGGAAATATCCCTCATTTGACATAGAGAGTACAGCAGAAGCACTCACTGCATTATTGTTGGCACTACCCAGCTACTGGACTTTGTTATTAGGACACTTCATACAAATTTGACTCAAGTCTTTGTCAACAATCTTCAAGCAAGTCTTCAATCTTTTGATCATAAGTCTCACTCAGCCCTCAAGTCTTATTTCAAGAATATTATTTTAAAGGACCTTTTGAGAAACGACCCACGTGTAATTAATAATTATGCCAAAAGTGCAATTATGAGGACATTCAATGACTCTCTCCGTTACAGCTGCATTTGGGCTGTTATATTGGTGTCAGCTTAATCGTGGTTCGCAAAAAAATGTCTCCTCTCTTGTTTTCTTTTCAAATCAGTGTATTTGTCATAACTAAAGACCTGAATAGTTTCCAATAGTCATACTAGGAAGACCACTGATGAAAACTATTTATTTTTCCTGTTGTATTCCATTCTTTTTACATTATATGAATGAGATAAATAGTCTAAGAACCAGTGTGCTTGTGCACAATTAAGTGTGTGTGTGTTATAAGACTGTTTACTTGTAATAATGCAATTTTACAACTAAATGTTGCACATGTTATTCTACACTGTATTTGTTTGACAACGTACAGCTCTGGCTACCTGCATGCTTGTGTATTCTTACGTGTAAGTGCATGTGTGTGTGCTTCCGTCTCTCCATTCATATGTGTTTAGTGTCAGAGCATAGCGTACTTCAGGCCCTGGGCAGCTCTTTGTTTGCTTTAGCCATGCGGTGGCTAGCCTAGCCCGCTAACTCCAAGACACATTTAGCCTGTGCTCCACTTTTTTATCCCCCTGCTTTTATTTTCCTTCTCTCTGCTTTCTGAACAAAAACGCTGCAGTGAACTGGCTTTAAGTAAGACCAGTATCAGTGGCACTCTCAACCATTGATAGACAGTTTTGGTCATTGTGGTTTTCCCTGGCTGCCGTGTTAGCTCCAGCTTAGCTCCTAAACTGCTCGCACTGGCCAAGTGGCCCTCCCTGCCAAAAATATATGTCGAAATGTGTGAAGGCTACAGTTAAGCTCAGCACATCCAGGAAGTTTTATCTCCTTGTCTTGGAAGATTAAGGCTTACATTTCAGACAGAACCACTCTGATGCTTAGAAGCCTATTAAAACCTTGTGTAAGGTGTTTATTGTGGTCTGGGGTTAGACGCTGGAGTGTGTGGAGGGACAGAAGGAGGAGGAGAAGGAGGAAGAGGGATGGTGGTTTCAGCCACCAGCTGTTGTTACCTTCAGCATAACGTCCTTTAACCCCCATTTCAGTGTATCACCACAAGCCACAAACACGCTAGCTTCCACTGACTGCAAAACAACCAAAACTCACTTGTTTACCAGCTAATGTCCCATGTATTCACTCATACTCATTCAACCCTTCTACCATATTTCTCTTTCTTTTATCAACTCCTTAATTCACATCTTGCACCCTCATTTCCCGATATATTCTCCTCAACCCCTTTGTACAATTTTCTCACCCTCTCTCATTATATCTATGTCTCTCTGTGTCATCCTTTTTCACATGCTCTCTTCATCTTTTCCTTAGCATTTCCTTTCATCTGTCTTCCTCTTTTTGCCCCATTCAGCCTTTGTTGGTTAGGGACCCGGGTATGCGTGGGTAACCCCGATGCCCATGTAAAGGCCCTTAGCTGTGGACTCATAGAGCCCAAGTGCCAGTAGATGAAAGCAGAGAGATTCTGGGGCTGGCACCCATCTCCCTCTGTCATGCCACCGTGGCCTCTTATTTCACAGAGAAAATTAATAACTTTAACAAACATCAATGAGCGAGGGCCTGATGCTCGGTTGGCTTGGTGTATGTGTGTGTGTATCTGTTAGCATGTGAGTGTGTACTGCGCACACATGCCTGGATTTGTGTGTTTTTGTGTGTGTGTGAGCCTCTGTGTGTGTGTTTGAGCTCATACCTTACAGTATGTGAGCTATTACAGTGATGCAGAAAGAGGCTAAGAGAAATAGTGTAAGAACATGAAAGGTTGATAAATACTAACAGAGAAAGAGGATTTTGGGAGGTGTGGGGTGTCGGGCTCACAATGGTTTTGGTCTGATCAGACTGTTGTCTGCTTGAAATGCCATGTCGTCCTTTCTTGAGGCAAAGAGGAACTGAAAGACGGATGGATGAAGGGAGGGTTGGATGGATGGATGGATGGGAGAATGTGACCACTTCTGAAGAATTGTCGACAGCCGCGCTGAATAGGCAGCGGGCCTGCTTGGAGCCACGCCCGTATTTATGATCTTCAAAGGAAGGATGAGACACACACACGCACTCACCCACAGCCACAAAATGTTGATAGTTACAGGAAAACACGTGCTTCTGCAAAATGGATACACACAAATTTGCATATAGATTTCTGCTCACGCATGCACACGGACAAACTTTTGTACACATGTTGCAGCACTGACATACTATAGGAATAGTCCGGCACCTAGCCTCTTGAAAAACAGCAACTTGTCTTTTAAACAAATCAGTGTTTGTACAGATTAAACAACTAAGATATAAAGTGTTAATTAGTAACCTTCAGAAGTGCTGGTAGGCAGATTTTGTTTGCAGAGCAAGGCTAGCTGTATACTTCCAGTCTTAGTGCTATGAGCTAACCCGCTGGCGGCTGTAGCCCTAGACTTACTGGACAGATATGATAGAGGTATTGATCTTCTAATCTAACTCTCGACAAGAAAACAAATAAGCATATTTTCTAAAAAGTCAAAATGTAATAGATTACATGCTCTACTACCCGAGGCACTGCCACCCACTGATCTGCAAAGCAACATATTAGCTGTAGGATTTCACAAATGGATGGTTGATGACCAAGTCCTCCAATAATGGATTGGGACTTCTGTGACACTTCTCTACGAATTTAGAAGTATGCTTCGTATCTAAAACAACGGAAGGGGAGAAATTCCCCTACTACTATGAGGTGATACTTCATTATCAGAGCATTTACATCTTACAACGCTGGAAACATTTTAACACTGACACCTCTATGACAAATGTTGATTTCTTTAAACTGGCTGGTGCTGTATGCTCCATACCAGGAACCTTCTAATGAATTTACACAGGTCTCAGTTGATGTTCTATTTCAGCTAAAAGGTAAACACAGCTATAGATGGCTGTTTACTGTGTGTGAATCCCTTTTCTCTGTTCCAGCAAATGACATGAAAAGCTGTGGTGCAGCAGAAATACTTTGTGGTATTTACACTCACAAATAATAAAACATAAATTGTGGAAACCCTCAGCCTTACAGTTCAGTTCATTCAAAGGAGCCTGCCCTGAGAAACAGGGGTGAGACCACTGATTTTCTACTGGCAAATATTTGAAGAGCTAATTTGGAAGGGTTGGGTTTGCTGGTGTGTTTGCGCGTGCGTGTGTGTGTGCGTGTGTTTGTCAGCCACACACAGCCAGCAGCCAGGGAGCCAGACAGCCAAAAGTTATAAAAAATAAATATGTAATTTGTCTAAGGAAACTGGGGGGGAAGTTATAAACCTTGTTGATTAATTAGGACAATTGTCTAGACTAATTGACAGCCAGTCAATCATAAATCTGAAGTCAGTCAGTCAGCAAGTCAACAATCTGTGTGACTGTCAGTCAGTCAGTTTGCTGCCAAGTAATGCTTCAGCTAGTCCACATGCAAGACATTCAAACTAGTATGTCTCTGAAATCACCCCATTAGTTAACCAAACACTAACCAGCCAGTTAACCAATGATGCTTGATCTTATTTGATATTTGAATGCAGCTGAGGGAAAAAAAAAACATTAGTCTCTGCATAATCCAGGAAATTGATTTAATTAATTGATTGTGATTGCCTGTTGTTTCCAGTAAAAAAACAAAGAGCTTTCAAGGGCACAGACAGACAAAGACAACGACTGGAAATGAAGCGGCAGCAATAAAAGGGCAAAGCTTATGTTTGCTGCTCGCCTGCCTCCCGGCAAAATGTGGACAGGACTCTCCAGTGCGCCCTGTGCCCAGGAGGGGCGGGGTGGGTGGCAGAGCAGGGAGAGAGGGAGAGAGGGAGAGGGAGAGAGGAGAGAGGAGGGCAGGACTGGCAGGGTGCGGTCTGAAGTGGCAACAGATCGTTTTGGATCACTCAAATCCCTTCAATTCAACTGGAAAGCTGCAGCTTGTTGCACGCCGGCCGCATATGGAGAGGAGAAGCTTTCAATCCAGAGAGAGGGCACCAACCATACAGCGGGCGAACGTGGCCGATGTTGTGACAGTTTCCCAGAGCAAAAGAAAGAGAGGGAGAGAAACCACAACACTGCAACTTGGATATCAGTAACCGCTCTCCCTCTCTCTTTAACTCTCTCACCCACCAAATCGACTTTGAACCTGTTTGTTTAAATACACGGACTTTACAGCCTGCACACTTACTGTTGATTCTGCAAGGCGGAGGGAGCGACGTTTCTCAATTTGGGTCCATTTCTTCTTTTTTTGGAGCTGCTAAAAACTTGTTGGTGTCCTCATGGTGCCTGGAGCTGCCGCAGTGAGCTTCTTTTATCCGAATTTTTCGGACGTGATATCGCGACTGTCACGGACGATGGAGTCGGGAACTGAGCCGCAGAGGTACTGAAGACACCTCTGTCCCCCGGGAGAGTCCTCCCTCCCACCCCCCCGGGGCGATGCGGGTCTCCTTCCTCCTTCTCACCGCCTCTCTGTGCGCCATGGTCCTCCTCCTCGCACCTGCCTCGGAGGGCTGCGGGCCGGGGAGGGGGTACGGCAAGAGGCGGCTCCCGAAGAAGCTCATCCCGCTCGCTTACAAGCAATTCAGCCCCAACGTCGCCGAGAAGACCCTGGGGGCCAGCGGGAGACCCGAGGGCAAAATAACGCGCAACTCCGAGCGCTTTAAAGAACTGACACCGAATTACAACACAGATATCATCTTCAAAGATGAGGAGGACACGGGCGCCGACCGGCTCATGACCCAGGTAAGGAGCGGGGATGAATGGGGGTATGGATGCAAAACATCTTGCACAGATATGAGCAAATATGGACCATTGTTATTCGTGCTGCTGCTTGATACATTAGCTATGTTAATAAGACTGAATTTACAATATAGTGTTTGATTAATCTAGAGACTGCAGCAGACCCAACCCATGAATGACCTGAATAGCTTCAGACTAGATTAGCTACCCTGTTGCATCCAATTGTCTGCTGAGTGTTTGCTGTCTGTTGAATGTTTAAACCAAAATGATTGATTTCATTGACTCGACCCTTCGTTTCACCTCTGGATTTTGCTACTGCACATTCTTACCTGTGGGTTTCTCTTGAAGAATTGCCTTCACTTCCAAACTAAGCCTGGTTTAGTTTGGTTAATCTGAATGCTCGCTAATATATACAGTTTTCAGGCTCATAACCACTCATTTTAGCATTAAACCAACGGCTATGGATATACTAACCAATACAGTCCTCTTTGTCTCATATCAATTGTAATGTTTATTTGTCCCACAAAGGCACCTCTCACCTATATGTAATTGTAAAAACTAGAGCAGTGACTACTTTACGCACAGCCTGCCAAATCTCAGCTATTTTTGGAAATTCTGTGAAATTCAAAACAAATACCATCATCTAGCTGCAATTGATTAACTGACTAATTAATCAGTTCATGCAATGATGGATATTAATATTGACCGCATTGACAACTCACTGCTTCAAATTAGATTCATTACATTTGAGAAAATGGATCTCCAGATCTGCTGAGAGGCATCTTGACCTCAAGCATTTCATGCAAGTAACTGGAAAAACTGCGAAATCAGCCCAAGCAAGCACACCTGGATAGTTGTGTGTATTTTGACCTGACAAAATTCCCCTGACACAATTGTAGTATAGAGTCATTGTTCACATTTCTTTGTATATGTTTTGAGTGTGTGTTAGTGTAGAGGTATGCCCTCATCACTTCTGATGGGCATGTCGTTTGCCTTTTATTCACTCTCTTGCTCTCCTTCTCTGGGGTATACGTTCTTTCTCTCATTGTTCCACCTTCCCTGTCCCCGCCTTAACATGATGACACTGATGTCGCCGACTATCTGCTCCACCAGACACACACCCACAAACACACAGTCCACATTGTATATGATTCTTGTTTTCTCTGAACTTGGGTATCTGCAAACATGCCTCATATTCATCTCACCCAATTCTTCCCACAACGTCCCTCTTTTCTTCTCTTCATTTGGTCTTTCTCTACCTCCAGCTGCTCACTCAGCATTATTAGGACAACTATATTTTGCATTTGTAGTGTTTGTTTTTAACTCCTGCCTTTCCTTTCTCCTCCCTGTACCTCTCTCTCTTAGCGTTGCAAAGACAAGTTAAACTCTCTGGCCATCTCAGTGATGAACATGTGGCCGGGTGTCAAGCTGAGAGTGACCGAGGGCTGGGATGAGGATGGTCATCATTCGGAGGACTCGCTGCACTATGAAGGACGTGCTCTCGACATCACCTCCTCAGACAGGTGGGCATGCAATACAGCACATCATGTGGTGTAAATAGGACTTAAAGTTGGCTTATAGTCAGTAAAGACAATCCACAAGTCACTCACTCAGTCAGTTGACTTCTCAGTAATGCAATGAGTCAACCAATTGGTCCAATTCTTCCTGCAATTACAATATTTTAAGTCTATTACATTATACAAATAAATGTATGGATGTCAGTGGAATAATGTATGTCTTATGTGCATGTTTGGAAAAGTACGCATGTCAAGCTCTGATTGAATCACATGTGGAGTTGACAATATACATATATATCATTTTTTTTACAGGGACAGAAATAAGTACGCCATGTTGGCCCGGCTGGCCGTAGAAGCTGGATTCGACTGGGTCTACTATGAGTCCAAAGCCCACATTCATTGTAGCGTCAAGTCAGGTAAGAGATGCTATAAGCTACAGTGTGTGTGTGTGTGTGTGTGTGTGTGTGATTATCTGCATGTGTGTTTGTTTTGCGGCTAGCTGTCATTACCACTAATGAGGTTGATGCCTTTGTTGGTGATTCACTAATGGTTTACCTTGATGCAGCTATCATCAGTCTATGTGTGTGTTTGTGTGTATGGCCTATTGGGAGCCAATCAAAGCAGGTAGGTGCACCTGTGTTCTTTGCTGTGTTCAGTCTCCCTTCTTGATCACATCGGAAGTAACTGTTGTTTGTGGTCATAGAATATTTAGCCCTATGATGTGCAGATAGAGCCAGTGTTCCAATTAGTAAGTGGTGGGACAGTGCAATAGCTAATATTTAATTTGCAATGAATAACATATTCTGTACTTTATATTTAAAGTCCCATCTGGCTCTCCTTCCTGCATTCCTATGATAAACCGTTTAATTTTTTCCAGTTTTATTGCAAATCAGATACAGTCCTTACACAAACAATACTTGACCGCATTCCACCTCAAGCCATTCTAACTTTTGAGACATTTTAGAAACCCATTTACCCATGTCTGGTACCACCAGTTATTTGATGCCAAACTACATTCTAGCAGTCCATTGAGGTTAGTAAGCTGTGAGATGATTAACTCTCCCTTTGTTTTGCTGTTGCTTTTCCTTCAGTAGGTTTCTCTCAGATCTCTTATCTAAGTCTTATCACCTCCCGGTCACAGCCCTCCTTCTCTGCAGCCCTCTGGCTTACAGAAACACACACCTTGGACAAATATTTGGCTGCCTTAAGACTGCTTTAAGACAACCCTCCTACACACACACACACACACACACACATACACACACACATGCATTTATAGTGATGCATTTCCATTTCCTATTTGAATCTGATCTTTCCTTGTGTGGAACCATTGAGACTGGGCATGTGACTCAGTTTGAAACACAAACTCTGCTGTAATCCAAACAATATCTAGACCCAGGTCTGAGTGAGTCTGTGTACTTTCCCGTTTCTCTGACCCCCGGCCGTGCTCTGACTGTGGTGATACAATCAGCTGGTTATCCATTAGCTCTTGCTGACTACCTCTTCTTGCCACCTCGTCTCACTGCGTCTTAAAGGGCCACCTTATTCAGAAATACTCCCAACAAGCTCAAATGCAGGCCTACATTCTGTGGCATCTTGGACAGCCTAAATGGCAGAGAATATCCCGACAAAGCTGAGGCAGACATGCTTTTCGAATACTGTTGTATTGCTTGTGTCATACTGATGGGGGGGACTTCACAGTGACAACAAAAAAGCAAGAAGAGAGCTGCCCTTTGGTCAAATTTTAGATATTAAAACACCTTCCTTTGACCCCACTAAGTATTTTAGGAACCTCAGAGAAAACAGTACTCATTTTGGTAACTTTATAACGGATTTCAAGTCCCATTGACAGGCCTTAGTATTGCAGAATGCTTAGGGGGCCACACAAACCTGTCGAGTTTTTCAAAGAAATCACTAATATAGTTGAGAAAATCAAATGAATGGGGATTAGCAATCCTAATTTGCTGCTGAAAACATTTTCCTCTGAAGATGTGAATGAGTTCTAAGAATAAGGAGAGAGGCAGACAGAAAAGACAAAGTTTGAACATGAGTCACATTATATACATAAGTTAACAATCGCCCGCTGATCCACTGAGATAAAGATGTCCTTGAGTCAGTGTCAAAGTCTTGCCTGCTTTATAGATTACTCAATGACCTAGAACAATCTGAAGTCGCTGTTGCTCTACTCCTGAGAGAAGTTCAAACTGCATTCCTCTCTCTTTATGTCTGGACTCCTCGTCTTTGCATCACCACCAAAACAAACAATGCAATAAAAACGGATTAAAACTACATTTTGTTAAATAAAATAATCATATTTCTCTTCCTTTCATCTCTCCAGAACATTCGGTGGCAGCCAAAACCGGTGGCTGTTTCCCTGGCGATGCTCAGGTTATCCTCAAGGGCGGGGCTTCTAAACGGATGCGTGACCTTCACCCTGGCGACCATGTCTTGGCCTCCTCAACGACGGATGGTCACGGCCCCCTTATCTACAGCCCGGTCTCATCTTTTCTGGACTACCAGCCCAACGTCACAAAGATCTTCTACAACATTGGCACCAACACAGGACTTAATATTACTCTCACAGCCGCTCACCTGATCTTTGTCACAGACTGCACGGGTGGGCTGAGTGAGCCAAAGTGGAAAGAGACGGCTGACGATCCACATTTGGGCTCCAAAAGGTGGGAAGCAGGCCTGAGGACAGTTTTTGCCAGTGAGGTCCGGCCAGGACAGTGTGTGCTTACATCACAAGGGAAAGTGGGGTCACAGGCATCACTTTCAGTTGTGACCTTTGTAGAAGAACAGGGGAGCACTGGGTTGTATGCCCCACTAACTCAGCATGGGTCCATAGTGGTGAACGGTGTGCTGGCCTCCTGCTATGCTGCTGTGGACAATCACCATTTGGCCCACTGGGTCCTGGCCCCACTGAGGTTCTTCTACAGCCTTATGGGACCTTCAGAACCGCAGACCGACGGCCTGCACTGGTACCCTTGGCTTCTACAGAGGCTGGGGCAAATGCTGTTGGACACTGGACACTTCCACCCCTGGGGGACTGAGCAAGGACATAGATAGGAGCCACAGAGACATGTTTCACACTGACTTACCTGTATTCAGGAGAACCTAAGCACAGATTTAGGGACCACCAAAGACAATTGATTTTATAGTGAAAATTTGTTTTCACCCTACTTGGCTGTATTTTCTGTACTTCATCAAACTCTTTTTTGTAGCACATGGGACAAAGAGAAGCGACTGGGAAGATTAGTCTGCTGATTTCAATTTCATTCATTCCAGAAGATTTTAGAGGACTGGAAAGGTGATCAAAGACAGAATATCAAAAGTACAGACTTAAGTATCTCCCATGTTCAATTTCTATGTCAATATGTTCATGTTCCACTCAGAGCACCTCAGAGATCAAAAGCAGGGAATGCGATTCGAAACAATAGCTTTCATAAAATCATCGTCAAAGTAGGCAGTGAAGATAATCAAGTTGAATCATTCCTTTGTACTGTATTCACTGTAATGTGTGAACATTTGTGCAGCTTGACGTCACGCTGGGGCTTACTGATGTAGTTGGAGGAAATTTAAACATTTGAGGACACCTTTTGTGACACATTTTAGGAGCATCAGGCTCCAGAGAAAAGGTTAAGGTGAACAAATGAAGGAAACACTTTTGGAGGAAAGAACAAAAGAGAATAACATGAAGAAAACTGAACAATGTGTGATTTAAAGCTCTATGTACATAGGTATTTATACAGTTAGGGAATGTTAAACAAAGGAAAGGAAGACAACAAATTAACTTTACTGTCAGAATCATCACCGCAGTAAATCCATTGATGCTTTACTCTTTTTTTAATAGAGCCTGTTTTTTTTTAAATTTATTTACAGAATAATATTTAACTGGACGATGAGGGATGACGTTCTGTGTGTTAAATGAATGCAATGTTGCAATTTGCTAGTGTTGCAATATAGCTTCACATCTGGGGCTTTGTTGGATAACTATGACAGGGAATGATGATGGACACTGTGTGTATACTGAAGTACTGATAAGAGATCGGTGTATGGGGTTATAATGGCCACGCTGTCAATGTGGTTTTCCAAGTAAATCTCATGCTTTCAGTCATCTTGATTGTCTCAAGCTGATATATGGTTCATATATACGTCTTCGTGTTTTTTTTATCAGTCATTTTATTTAAAAGGTGTTTGTTTTGTGACATGTTTCTCATTGTTTCAGGTTTTCAATTTTCAGGTCAGTAGTATCTAGTAAAGGTATACACAACACTCAGGCTGTATTCAACTACTGTATTAAGCAACAGCTATGCATCATATTAAATAACTCTCTTTAATCTCGAATAGTAAGTTACTTGACAGCTCTCCTCTGTATGGTCTTTTTTTGTATTCAATCTTTCACCCAAGACATAAGACCTAGATTGGCAGGGGTACAGGAATTTTTGTTGTTCATATTGCCCAAAGTGTTCTTCCAGTCGTCACTTATTGAATATGAAGACTCAAACTTTGCTATCTAGGAACTCCAAGGCATTATTCTATATGCCTTCTAAAACATGTATCACATATGTATATTAAGCTATTGTTGGAGAGACTATTTAAAGATCTATTTTTAGAAATAATGTAAACTATTACTATTTTTCGGCAACTCTGAGCATACAATTTGTATTTGAAACATAAAGTTGTTGTTTTTAAACCCCAACTGCTCTGTGTTTTTTTGGTTGCAACGCATTTAGAACAGCTCCTTACTAATCACTGCTAGATGTGTACTCTATAGTAAAGTCCCTTTTTAGTTACACCTTGATCGTTCTGATAGAGAGGCCCTGGCTGTCTTTATTCAGAAACGCCATTGAGGGCTCGCAGCTGCTTTTCAAACAAGTGCTGATAATCATCTGTTACATGTTGACACATAAACAGCCATAATTGGGAGTGATCAGTGTAAATGGTGATGCATCTCAACAGCTGGAACAATGTGAATGGAGGATGAATAGCTGTGGTCAAAGGGTGGGCTGCTGGTTGGTTTCAGTACCAAGGACAGCAGCCCACAGCAACAGCTCCTCTCTCTCCTCCTTATGATGCCCGAATGCTTTCTTTCTTTTCCAGAATGGTGTTAGTCTTTGAAAACAGCACACCCTGATGGATGCTTCAGTATTTGCATCCAGAGAGCAAAATCTGCAGAACAGAATTCAGCACGTAGAAAAAGACACTTAATCAATAAGCAAAAGGAGATTCTACAGAATCTTTAATATTATTGGTCAGTTAGGTACAGGAAAAACCTTTTTGTTGTATCCCATAGCTCATTACAGGAGACATCATCATTCAAATAGACAAATACCCACAAAACCAGACTTCAGGTGAAACACTCGCCAAGTTACACATGTTTAAAAATAAGAATACAACAGTGATTGGTTTTCCAAAATGTGCAGGTGATGTTCTCACATGGGAGGCTTTTTATATAAATAAATCATGCACATCTCAAGTGGTTGAAATACTGAAAACCATTCTAAAAATGTCCACCTGAGTCTGGTGGTGTGCAGCTTTTCTCTATGTGTCCCGTCTCCATGTAATCATGTTTAGGCCTGTTGGGACCACGATACCCCGGCAACATTTTGAGGCAAGGCTGATGGAAAACCAGCAATCATAATCAGGACAGATTTGAGAGGGAATGGTGAAAAAACACATTTTATATATAACTGCCCACCATACCTCTTATTAAGATGAACAAATAAATAACAATAAATCAAAAAATCTTTCAGCTGCCTCAAAAGTGACCCAAGTATCATCGTCTTAAATTAAGGGTGTTCACACAACAGCACATGGGAAGTCAGCATGCTCACAGTAACTCACATACAGATATGAATGTCTTTATAGAATATGTATCTGTCATCACAGCTTGGCAAAATTACACGTATACACAACAAATGCACAATAACACCTGGAACCATAATACCAGCCAGTGGAAAAAGACCCAAATATGTTTGAGTTGTCTTTGTCCAGTCAGAAAAAAACTTCCTGTAAAACGAACGACCTCATCCCCAGGTAGGTGGTGGTGATATCGTCCAATAACAGTTGCCTATAGATAAAGAATGTATGTTTCCCAACAACCCGTAAACACGCACACATACAATCGCACACAACCATTTTCACACACTCTTATTACATGTTAATAACATCATGAGAAATGTCAATCTTCTGAGTCAGTGACTGAATGAATGTGAGATAGTTTGAATTACCTACAGTAAGCGGCTATGTTGAGAGCAGTGAACCTGACAGAAGTACAAAACACTCCATAACATCCTACAGGAAGTTGGCAATTATGTTGACATAGTTACATTAGGCTATATGTAATCATTGCTTGGCAGCATACAAAAATAAAAGAAGTTGCTCTGGTGCATATTCTGAATCATCTGCATTTGAGTTAAGTCGTCTCTATGCAAACGGAAGGAATTGTTTTCGGCACAATTTTCAAAAACGAATGAGGCTGGCTCAGTTATTATATATGTGATTAGCATTAAGGTGTAACCATATCTGCCTAACTATTATACTACCAGTAGCAGCGTCTCATTGTAGTATGCATATTTTGAATTCCTTGTGAAAAAAGAAAAGAAAAAAGAATCCCATGAAAAATATTTGTTTACATGCCCACTCCACACAACTTCACACAAATTTGAACAACAAGGAATAAAAAAAACCGGCTGTCGAAGAAGAAGACAGTCTAGTGTTTTTCTACTCTATAGGACTCTCATCAATATTTCTGTTTGGATTTTTAAAGCATTTCTATTTTGAATTCCTGCTGTCTTTAACTTGGTTGGTGTCAGATGACCAGTTAAATGCATTATGCATTTATTTGGATTTTTAACAAGAGGTTCATGCTATTATACCACTATTGAACCTAAACCAATACAACATCTAGAGGCCCATGTTTCAATGTTTCACAAGTAGGTAATAAAAGTAGAAATCAAAGATGGTCTGGATGAGTCCAACAGGCATAGGGTCAGTAATTCGAGTGATTGTGGATCGGTGACGAGCAAATACCGGCACCAAAACTGCTTGAGCTTTACTGACACACTCCAGCAAGCCACCCAGCCACCAAATAAGCAAACGGGCACAGGTGAGGAAACCTGCATGCCGTAGGAAAACAACGACACTTGATGGCTACACATGTGGCTAAAACAAAACTGTTGACAAAAATAGAGATTTGTTTCAAAAATCCACTTGAACATGAGAAGATGGCGATCTGCCTCAGCAACACAAGTGACTGGCTAACTTCAAGACCAGTTGTTGATGAGATTGCTCATTTTGTTTTGTTTACTTAAATTCCTCACTGTTTATGTGCTGTCTGGCTGATTAGGTGCTGATGTACCGCATGTGTTCAAAGGTCGCCTCTCAGTTTGACCGGGGGGAAGTTGCCAACTAGGAGTTGGTTTTACTTTTTCAGTGTGTTAGTCTACTTGGTGAATGTTTCTAAACATACCGAGGACTCTTTCCTGTCAGCCTGCCTTTACTAAATAGATGAACAAACAGATTTTCTTTGTAATGATGGTGAAATATGCCTTGGCAGAGTTTATGAGGAGACATGGCTAAGAATAAAACATTATAATGCAGGTGCAAATGTAGCCATTGCAGAGGCACCTGTTCCTGCATCTATCCTGTATGATCAGGATCCTCCTATCAATTCCTTCAGTATGGAGAAGCAGGACAACAAAGAGTGGGACCTGTGAAATGGCTACATCTGTAATTGTAAATGTTGCCAGAAATCCACAGAAATGCCAAGATCCACTTTTAGCACAGTGTAGCAGATCTTAGAAATGCATGATTTCAGCCAGGGCTGTGACAGCTCTGCTTCTATGGCCAAAGTCCTAGTAAAGATACAATATCAGGGCAAGAGAGGGAAGGAAGGATTGAGGCAAGAGGAAGAGATACATGAAGAAGGGAGCTGGAATGACGTCCTGTCCACCTCTTTCACAGCCTCTGTGTGAAGTTCTCTGGGAATACTCCTTTAGCGGCTTTTTCTTTATTCTGCAGCCAGTCATCCTGCCTCATTCCCATCAGCCAGCCATCATCCTAAAAACACAAGACATGCAAATAAAGACACTGTCACTGTGACACCACAGCACATAACTGTGTGTGAGTGTGTGTGTGTGTGTACGTGTGTCTGTGTGTACCTGTTCGTCAGGGTTGTCAAAGGTGATTACCAGCACCACATCACCAGTCTTCATCTCCAGTTCGTCTGTGTCGTTGGCAACATAATCATGCATCACCTGGAGCTGTAATCACATAAAAACGAACATGAATGATTTCCATATATATACAGTACAACATATATTTGGGTTATGAAGTAGATGTTCAGCACCATTGAGAATTTTTTTTATTCTGTATCCTGTTTTACCTTGAACAAGAAGCCAGGTGGCATTTCTTTGGGCTCTGATGCTACCTCTGTTGATTCTGTTGCTACTTCATGCGTCTGAAAATACAGAAGCTCCATTTAATAACATGAGGTGCTCGATGAATTTTTTTCAAATCTTTTAAAGAAACATTTATTTAGCCCTGAAAGTATTTTCTTAAGAACATGATTTAACAATAATCTGCCACCAGAATTTTCCATAAAAGAATATTTCATAACCAAAGAAAAGGAATACTTGGTTTTAGAAAATGCTTAAAGTTTTTTTTTTTTTACATATTATAGACAAAAGATTATGTGATAAGATGGATTCCTTCTAGAAAATGGGAAGACAAATGATGCCATATAGTCACCTAAAATATAATCATGACACATTTGGGCTTGTGTAAGCTCTTGATATAATACACATGTGTACTATTACAATATATAATATTACAATAGTATACATACTATAATTACAATAGTACATCATTATATTGATAACTCCAATTAAGCAATAAAAAGCACATCATAACAGTTATTGCATGTCATAGTAGTTCATCTTGCAGGTACCTCCTCTGTTGGTGCTTCTGCCTCTGGTGCTGCAGCAGCTGCTGCAGACTCACCCTGGGAGCAGAGAGACATAGAAGAATAACAGAGAAAGGTCAGAGAACGAGACAGATGAAAGATTGAAAAAAGGAGGGGGAAAGAATGGAAGAAAGAAGAGCAGACAGACAAGACAAAGACGGACAAGAAGACAAGCTGCACAGCCTACATAGCAAAGTCATGGCTAATTCAAGCAAGTATGTCGAATAGTTAGTAAGCATGGCCACTAATGCACAGTTCCCATATAGGTATAGCTTTTGCACAGCACACTATGTGCGTGTATTTCTGTTTAACAGTGACTGGTATTAGTCGTGTGTATTGAGAAGTAGATGGCTATACACTTTCCCTCAGCAATTCATTGCCAGCTTTCCCTTTGTGCCACAGCAATGCATCCATGCTGCTGGTCCGAATGCATCCTAAATCTTTCCATCTCAAGAGTTATCCGTTCCTCCAGCTTTCATTCACAATATATCTCCCTATCATCAGTTTCTTTCCAGTACCCCATGCTCAAATCTCCTCCTCAAAAATCGATGCATCCACCATTTTCGTCCAGATGCATCTCTCCATTTTTTTCTCTCTCCTCGGTTACCTGACCCTCTTCATCATCCAACGTAGCAGCAGCTGGTGTGGTGTCTTCCTCGGCGACTTCAGCTGGAGCTTCAGCTGCAGGTGTTTCATCCTCAGGGGCAGGCACCTCGGGGGCAGGCACCTCGGGGGCCGGCACCTCGGGGGCCGGCACCTCTGTGACCGGCTGGCCCCCATCATCGCCCCAGTCCTCCTGGGCTTCAGCCTCGGGATCGTAATTAACCTGCTGGACCTCATCATCCCCCCCTCCCTCCTGAGCCGGAGCCACAGGGTCATAGCGAACCGGTAGGGCTCCATCATCCCCCCAGCCTTCTGTGGCAGCTGCTATGGGGTCATAGCGGATAGGCTGTGAACCATCATCACCCCAGGCGTCTGCAGCAGCACTCATAGGGTCATAGTTCTGCTGGGTGTCCTCTTCCTGGGCACCACTGTCCTCATGCTGAGGGGCAAGGGGCACGTTTCAAGGAGTCAGAGGTAAAAGGAGATATTTTACCTTTTGGGTATTATAAGGGATTCATAAATCAAATGGTTAAGGAAATTTTAAGGGACACAAAGGAGAGGTATACGAGCTATTTAAGGCCAGATTCAAGGGCTCAGCATTACAATGGACAAAAGGGCATTTTGTCCAACGTATGAACAAAACAGTGCGCTATGGAAAACTCAAATATTTTTGAGGGACAAGGGATTAGGAAATTGCTGGAGATATTGAAGAGGCACTAGTTTGTGCATACGGGTTGTATTATGATAATGGCGGGTAAGGTATTCAAAAAGCAAGTGAGTTCAAGACCATACACGTGATTTTGTATGCTTTAGCCCGTTAACTGAAACATGTGTTTGCTATATCTTATGCTAATATTATTCTACCAAGAAACATTGTTTGATTAGGGGAAATTAAAGATTAAAAGTACAAATGTTTCCTCTTGCCCCAAGTGCTATTAATTCATCTAGGTTGCTTTGGTGTGAGTTGTACTACTAGGAAGTTTACAGTTTTGCAACAGAGGACACCAGGACAGTGAAAATGGTAAGCATTAAACCTGATAGTCATCTGTTAGCATTGTCAGTGTGAGCATGTTGGCATAGTGTTGGCATTTCACCCAAAGCACCACTGTAGCTATTTGAAAATGGTTGGCAGTACTTTTTAAATGCCTGATTAGTAAAAGGGCTAAAACCTGCAAAACCCTTTTGATGGGATTTGAACATGGATGAGGGTTTGGGGAGATGGCATCAATCACCATTTACATTAAGCGTATTTGTAGTATTTAAGGGAAAATGGAAGAGTTTAGCTAAATATGCATAGAAACGGGCCATGAAAGATGTCATGGACATCGGTTGGGATGGGAGGAGTTCAGCAGCAAGTCATCATCATCACCATCATCATCATCATCATCATCATCATAAGACCCAAGAAGATTGATGTAGAAGGTTGAACCTTTACAGAGAAGGTTTCAGATAAAACTAAAAGACACATGAAGAAAAGGAAGGGTGGCAGCAGAAGACGGAAATGCAAAGCTCAGCCTTTTCCCATCAGAAAATAGATGTCAGATCTTCTGCGTGTAGATTGCAAGCATATTTTTTTACTCCCACGGCTATGTTCAGATGGAGAAAGAGGAGGGAAGCTTTGTAAGAGCAGAAGGGTCGTTCCTTTCTGAGCTATCACTGTTTTGCCTCAAGCTCTAATACAGCAGAACTGTATGATTGTTGAGACACATCTCTCTTACAGTGATAGGGATGAACAAAAAGGTTATTGAATGGTCTGGATGCCAAGTTGCAAGCAAGGCTTTGTGAAGTTGCCCACTAGCTCTCATCAGTTAACCAGTCTCATTTCCATGAAACAATCCACTGAAAACATGAGCAACTTCACTCAACTTCCAGAACAAAACTGTTCCCTGTGTGTCACATGGAGCTAACATGTGAAGGTTACATGTTCTGTCAGTGCAACATGTGCACATACAGGGATAGGAGGAAAACAGAAGGAAAGGCGGTTGATTCAGTTTCAAATGTTAAATTTTTTATTTCCATTTACCATTAAATTCATGCTAAAAAAAAGTTTGTAAGTTTGTTATCTTTTATGGATGTCAGTGATACAGTACAATCAATCCTATGTGTTTTGGGTCTACTGAGGCCTACGCTGTTTATCATCAATATACTGTGCACCTGTACGGTAGAACAGAGAGATGCCTCTTAAAAGAGAGGGCTGCATATCATACACCATTTATATTTATTCAATATACTATAACAGTGTAAAATGCCAATTTGAAACTGAATTGACCCACGCTCATTCCCAAGTTCTATTTGTGCTGTATAACAATCTCTTCAGTGTTTAGTGTTACCACATCAAGCACTGCAGACACAAAGACAACGCACAAACAGATTTGAGATGGACAAATGAAAGAGATCCATTTATGGAAAAGCTTGTTAATATGCAGCAATGGCCGTTATAGAAGTCCCTATACCCAGCATGTCCTGGGTGGGGCTTGTGTAACGGCTATTTAAGTAGTAAAAGTAAGCAACAACAAATTAAATGATGGTTTTTATGAACATAAATAAGAATATTCTGATGCGGATGATGATCATAATGCTAATTCAATATTTTTACACATTAACTAACGTATTACGGTGAGGATGATATGCTTACCCATGAGTCCCAGTTTGCAGGCTGTAAAAATAAGAGTCAACAGAATGAGGAGACAGAACTAAACTCCTTACGAAGCTCTTGTTTTCACTCATTGCATTCAATAAGAACTTTCCAGTGCAGGTCCCATGCTCTAACCCTACAAGCTCATAGCAGGAGATCTCCAGCAGAAGAAGAGTACAGGCGACAAGTCTGAAGTACTAAATGATGTAAGTCTGAAGAGGTGACCACTCTCATATGTTCTTTGCACAGAGTGAGTGGAATATAGGAGAAAGGTGCACAGCAAAACACAAATAAGGATTCATTTAATCTTGCAATTAGCCTCAAGTGATTTCAATATTTTCATTCAGAATCCATGCAATCCCCCCTAACCATGTCAAATGTCACTTTCACCAGAGTATCTTGACACAAATGACGACGCAACAATCCTGTCAATGAGGCAAGTGATAACTGTCGGCAGATACATCAAAACAAAGAAAAGGTGATTTTCATTTGATTTTTTTAAATGTTCAATGCATCTGTACTAAAGAAGACGCCCCAGAGCCCCTGATAACATAAGATAGAATATGTGACAAGGCTGCAGTGAAATATCAACATTTTAGTGGGTACTAAGGAAGGTTACGATATTGTATTATAAGCACAGGCGGAGCCCTCTACTGGACTCTATGGGTAACAGTAAATTATGCAGCACAGACTGCTGTCTGCCATCCAACACCCTCTTTGGTGAGCAGGATAGGAGTGACAGGGGCCTTTGGTAGAGGGCTCTGCCTATGCTTTTAGAAATAGGATTACAAAATCGTAACCTTCGTTCTAACTCGCACTGGCTCCAACTTCTACTGGACTCTATGGGTACAGTGGGTGGAGCCCGGTGAATACACGCCCTGCAGTGACATAACATCGCCCCAACCACACGGACTGTGTTTCACTCTCTTTTTCATCTCATGACAGTAATGACAGTTTTTATGTAATTCTCAAGCTCTATGATCATGAACACATGAAAGGTCAGTTTATGACCTGAACTTCATTAAGGAGTTTTGAAGAGCAGAGTTTTGGGATTTAAATATCACTAGGCCTCCAGATCGCCTCTAAGAACACGTAAAGCATGATAGAATATGTTTAAGAGTATGTTTTCTGTTAGTCTTGTAATGCTGTATATTGTCTGGTAACTGGTAATGACTTACAGAGTAAAAAATCAGATCTAAACTATGTCATCTTTTCTCACATTTTCTATGAGGATTGAGGTTACCCAACATGCTCAGATAAAGTAAGTACAACCCTATGACATACGAGTATCTTAAACTACGTTCTGCTGCACAGTTCTGAAGAGAAAGAAGTAGAAGCAGAGCAGGGCGTTAGTCTTCACTCCATGCCATGAGTGATCTGTGGATAGTGCTGAAGCAGGAAGTAGTGGTCACTAAAAGCAGGTTTCTACAGATCATCATGCCAATCATCCACCTCTTGTTTAGGTAAATTGGAAAGAAGCACAGCGGGTAACACCTCAAACCATGCCAAGCTTATCAAGCTATTTCATTTTGTATCCAGACTCATCAAGCTTGTTTTTATATATTTAGTCAAACCACTGCACCGGCAACTGGAAATGATCTTGTTCCCCAGTATTACAAATTGATGGCATAGTTCTCTTGAACTTAAATATCATGAAAATAATTTAAAGCTTTTCTGAATAAAATCTAAAATAACTTGTGAAGCTTGACATTTCTTGCAGTAGAGGGTGTCTATGGTCTATATGTTCATGCCATGAATCATCCACCTGTGTGACCGTGGAGGCTTTGGTTGCTGCACTGAAAGAGTCCAGGTCCATGTCCAACAAGCTGCTCACTGCAGGACTGTCAAACTGATAACAACAGGAATAGGAGGGCTCATTGACTAACTGGGCACAATAGAGGGTCAAGGAACAGAACAGAATAGAACAGAATAGAATAGAACAGAATAGAATAGAATGGAACAGAATAGAACAGAATGGAACAGAATAGAATAGAATGGAATAGAATAGAACAGAATAGAACAGAATAGGAGAAGTAGGAAGAGGGGCAGGCCAGACGGAGGAATACTTAAAGGCTCTGACCAGTGCAGGAAAGTGGGAAGTTAAAGGGCTGTGGCTGTTTGTGGACAGCAGCTGTTGACTAACCTCTGAAGGGGAGGTGACGTTGATATCAGGAGTAGCTGCAGCATCAAACAGGCTGATGATGTTCTCAGTTTTCATCTCCTTACATGGGGTCACCTTCATTGGAGGAGGCATTGCAGGCCTTAGCTAGAACAGCGAAAGAATCATGGTGACTAAGTTGTGCCTCAATACAAGTGAATATAAATTCAAGGCTCGAAGTAATATAAGAATTAAACCTTCAGTCTGCATTTTAAAAAACTGACTACAAATGTATTTATTCCAAAGTTAAAAGATGACGAACTCAAACTCAGATGACAAAATAGACATTTTGGCATGTCATTGCAGGATGAGCCCAGCTGTAACTGACTACGTGATGGCTAGCCAGCATTATTGTCATAATGCAGATGATACTCTAAACACAGAGACAGCCTGAGAGAGTGTGTTTACCTTGGATGGAGATTTGGGGATTGGCGGTGGTCCTCCTGGCCTCAGAGTGTGGTTAGATGCTTCTTTTACACTCACACTGAGTGAATGAGAGAAAGACAGATGGAGGGCAAAACAGAGATACAGACGGATTACAGAGACAGTAACAAGGATGGCAAACAATGTGAGAGAAAGGTCAAAGCTAAAAAGTGCAGCTAAAAGCTAACACAACTTGAGAAGCCATGCTCTACAAGAGTCCAAGAGCTGTCATGCAAGAAAAGAAAGTCTTCCGTCCCTCCATTCCTCTCCTTTTCGTCCCTTTTATCCCATGCAAGCAGGCTTTGTCTGTGCCTGCAGTAAATCCTCACAAGCGAGCAGAGGCAGAAGCATTCGCTTTAATAGAGACGATTTTCTAAAGCTGACAAAAACGGCCCTAAACCTGCAGATATTTTGAGGGTTGGAAAACCTAAAATGTATTGCTGGACCAGGACATTTTGTAAATTGGTGGTGTGAGTGGAAGAAAGAGGTCATTCTTTGAAAGCTCAAGCACCACATCACCAAGACTGAAAGTGAGTATAAGCCTCAATAGCTTGAGGCTTATAGTGTGTCAGCAAGTTTTTGTTAATATACTGTATAATTTGTTCAGGAATATGCACCACTAAAGCAATCAACTAAGGTCGAAAATCGGTATAGATTACACACAGAAGGGGAATTAATGGGGAGTTAATCCATGTACATTATCCCACTATGTACGTCACGCTTTGGGTTGCATTGTCATGCAACAGTCTTGCCTGGTGGAGCGTTAAACATGCAGTTTTGCTCAACTCTCTTAATATATCTGCAGCTCTGGGGGCAAAGCTCTCGTTTTCGGTGTGTCTGTGACTTCACTTGCACAACCAAGCACTAGTTCTTCCTTAAATCTCCCGAGCCTGCAGACTGACTGACAGACAGACAGCTGGACAGACAGGTCAGTTGGACAGACAGACAAGAGTTGTGTCACCATTGTTACCACAGTTGCTGCCGGTTACCTCCTATTTGTTCCTGACGATGAGGCGCCGCGGGTAACTGTTGTTCTGAAAGGGGGGTTCAGGGTTGGCTCCAGGTTAATGCATGCCATTGTGTTTGTCTGTTCCTGTAGCTTAACATTTTTGATACGTAGTGTTTTAATCAAGGAGTATCATATTGTTGTGTTTTGATTTCCTCTTGGCTTGCAGCAAATTTACTGCCATTTCAACTTCTGATGCAGCATACTACATTCATCAAGCACAATGAATCATGAGCACTTAAGTGGCTCAAACATTTACAAAAGGCGCCATGGATATACAACATAGAAAGTATTTTCTCTTTGCTGGTTAAAATGACCAATAACAGTAATTGATGTAGGAGGCATTTTGAAATAATTCCCGGGATTTCAAAGATGTTTTTCAGGGAGACCAGGATTTTTTAGATCAAGGTTAACAAGATATCCCAGTTCTTTTGAGTAGTGTATAGCATTGGTGTTCATCTATATCTTTACCTTTTAACATCTTTGATGATACTAATAATATGTATGGACACTAACCTGCTTGTTTGCTGCGTGTCTCCACTCTCCAGTTTCTCCAAGATGTCATACAAATCCTGATCCAACTGCAGAGAGGGAAAGAAAGGGTGTTGGATATTGTACCTAAAATTAATTGCATTACATCATCATCATCCTACATTGTTCTGGCACAATAGATGCACATTCTATGACAAAAATCATTACATTGTGTTTGGTGTTCCTCTTGCTCTGTAATATCATCAAAGTACTGGCGAGTGTGTCCGTCCTCTATGGCTCGTTTGCATCATCACGTCCAAATTCAGATTGACAGTATTTAAATATCTATAGCTAAGGCAGTACTACAGAGGATAATCTCTCTGCAGTCAGTTAATAAATAAACTACAACTGACATCGCGTGGCAGCAAAATGTTGTTTTTTTTAGATTCGGTTATTGATGAGGTTAAAACCGGCATTGTCGACATTTTCCATCAACCGTTACCTGACACCCAGTGTCGATTTGTTTTGTCTGCCCTTTATCTAAATTCAGCATTGATGGAGGTCTATACACGAGACTCACCCGGCCAATTTCCTTGTGAAACTTCTCCTCAAAACCAGCCAAACTCTGGAAGGTGCTGACATAAAACCCAACACGACTAGAAAGGGCAGAGAAGAGAAAGAGAGACAGTATTGACAGCATTACCGGCTTGACTTAATATAACGTCCTGTGATGGCACGCAATGAAGCACAGACGTAAGTGAAACGTAATTACAGCGTACACCAACAGGAAATGATTTCCACAGACACTCACAAACACGTACACACCTGTTCCAGAGTGAAGGTAATTCCTCTTGCAAGTCAATATTAATCTCCTCAAACACCTTCTGGGCTCTGTCCAGCTCGTCCTCAGCCTGAAACACACACACACACACACACACACACACACACACACAATGTGTTGGCAAAAGGAATTGGGGCATGTCTGTGAGTCTGCGTGCGTTGTTGACAAATAGCATGCTGTGTGTAGCAGTGCTAACATCCTCTAACACTTATGATTGTGCTTCAAAATGGTTTGTCTGCAGTTGTTCTGTTGTTGCCATTTTGCATTTTGCATTCGTTAGACGTTCGACAGCGGCAAGTGACAGTGAACATGGGCTGAAAAAGAGAGCGATGAAATGCTCCTTATCATTGTTCCATAGTCAACAGACCTTACAGGAAATGCAGAAAGATTACTGTGTACCTGGTTTCTGGACAGACTGCTCTGGGCAACATTGTGTGCGGACAAGATACCCTGAGCCCAGCCTGGAGTGGCCCTCTCCAACAAAGAGGAGGGCTGGAGGAGAGAGAGTGAGAATACGACAAATAAAACACATTATTTATGGATACGTAAATGACGCCATAATCAGAGTGGCACTGCTGTTGTGTCAAAATATTTTGAATTTGTTTCACCTTGGTAATTTTAATGCCCCCGTCCTTTTTCTTGGTCTTGTGTGTGGTGGCATAGTTGTGCCTGGCACTGTCGTAATCGACCAGCTTCCTGTCCCTCTTAGCTATACGTGACTGGAAAAGAAGAGGACAACGAGTATTTGTAATATTCAGTGTCTCCACCTGCAGGGTTGACCTCAGCTTTCATCTTCTAAACATAAAATTGCTTTTCGGTAGTGTGATTATTGAAACTTAAGTAAGATCACAGTAAGATGTGGAGGAAAGCCTGGCTGCCACTGCATGAACACTAAACAATAATCATTTTTGGTCATGGTTGCTACTGGCTTCTATAACCACACGGCTTACCTTGATATCAGGGAACTGGCCCAGGTAAGTATCCATGGAGATGAGAGCATTATCGACCAACTTTTGGTGGTAGTCAGTCCACAGCACATCACAGTCCTACGGCATGGATGAACATAACAGTACCACGCATAATCACAATTACAGATTTGATATTACAAATTGCCTGTGATGCTTGTTTCATTGCAACCTATGCTGCTTCCCAGACGCATTTCTGCACCACCTCTGAGTTAATTCCTGTAGCTCCGCAGCTATGTCTTCGCTCATGATCTTGAATCTAAATTAAGAATAAACTAAAACCCTTTTAACTGATTGCCATATTTGTTTTGCAGCTAGCTTGTAGTAGTTTTGTCACATAAGAACCATTAAACCAAAATGCTCTTCAAGAGTAATAAACTTAATGCAGTCGGAGGAAATTCCAAAGAGCTAATCAACATCTCACAAGGAATGTTAATGTATAATTTGGATGATTCTGCCAAGAGGACACAGCTTTGCAGACCCTATGAAAAATAGCTGCTGTGATGCATAAGCTAATCAGGAGCCAAGCACACACACACACACACACACACACACACACACACGCACACTCAACTAATCAACTAATATACAAACTATAAAATGAAGTGGTTCTGACCTCTATATGGAAACCAGTCTGTCCGAAAACTCCCACACATGCAGGCAATCTCTGCATTTAAAACTCATTCATGAAAAGGGTTTCTGACCTCCACAATGGAATCCACTTCGTCCTTGCCGTACCACTCCGGTTCATACATGTCATTCAAACATGCCTGCACGTTGTTGGAGGACTCGTGCATGGCTGAGGACAAACACATATTCCACATTAGTGGAACATCACCGGATACTTACAGGTTATGGTGTGTATTTACATATCCACAACTGTGTGTTTACATGTACAACTTTGTAGGTGCAAAGTGTGAATCTGTAAAGGCGTATGTGTGTCACCTTTCACTGCCTCCAGGTATGCCCTAAGGTCCCTTTGCAGTTTGCTGCCTTCAGTCTGGGGGGTGAAACACAAAACATGGGGCTTAGAACCCAAAACTAACCAGCGTGAGGAGAAACGTTCACAGCCTGTTTAGCCAGAACATATTTACCAGATGTGACTAAAAAAGTCTGGCAAGCTGTGTCTTTTTTTAAGTATGCGTTAAGTATGTGTCACTATAGCATTATTGATTTCTGGGCAAATTAGAAATATGACTCTGCCATACAGCATAGTGCCAATCATTGGACTGTACTCACATATTGTTTGTTGAAGTTGATCACTTCCTCCTCAAAAGCAACATCTTTGGTCTCATCGGCTTTGCCAAGCTTCTGAAGAACCTGTCAGTTAATAAACACATCATAACATGACTGACGATACCAAAGGTTAGGGTAGCAATTGATTTTGTTCAGTTATAGGACAGAGGACGGGACCTGTTCCCAAAAAGACACGTCACCTGTTTTAATGTCTGGATCTCTTTTAGATCAAATATGATTTCTCTGCATTCATGGTTAAAATGAATTGGTTGCAAAAGCAATATATGACACAGTGTATACAGGCATTGTTTAAAAAGAGCAATCGGAACGCACTGTAAACAAATACTGTTTAATCTAATGATAAGTAAATAAATATCAGAGATAAGTCACATTGGCTGAATAAAATGCATATATGGATTGTATACATTATTTCCGTATAAAGTCATATAGGCTGACATGTTGTCAATACAGTAACATCCACACATATTTAAAGCAAACTGGATTTACAGGTGCACCATTATCTGTTTTCTCTCTGCCACTCTTCTGTTTATGATGCATTATGATAGACAAATAGCGCCCCCTGCCATGTATTCCGAGCACAACGCGCAGGTTCCATGAACGCAGACTAGGCCTAGACCTATATCTATTTCAGCATGGGCAATAATTATCATCATAGTGCTGGCAAAATGTAAGAGAGTTTCAGCAGTTACCATTTAAGTGACAAACACTCACATTGAAACATTGAAATAGCCAGATTTTAATTCAGAATGCCAGAAACACATCAGTCATCGGATAAATTATGAGTAGGCTTAGATCTTAGCGCAATATGCACGTGCCCGCTGAATGACATTGACCACGGTAACGATGTGTTTGGAGTGGACATCCCCATCCCCAAATAGGCCGTCAGCATCCCTGCACTTATTATGATGATGTCGTGATGCGACACTTCGCCTTGGTGGAGGATGGAGGTGGCACTGCTGCTTCATGACTTGTAGGCCCGGGTGATAATTCCCCACACCGTTCCCCATAAACCCGTTTGGCGAGCAGCTCTTACCTTTTCTTGGGCTCTCGTCAGTTTTTTCTGAACGTTGCTGGCCACTTTCCCTGCGGTCAGCCCCTTCCCCAAATTCAACTCAGCCATCTTGTAGCGTAGATCAGTCTTTGGATGCGGGAAGGAAGGAAATAAGAGCAATAACGATCGGATGGACCGCTACGGCGACCGTTGAGGCAAATGCATCAATGTCCAGTGCAGAAATAATGGCAATAAATGTAATTATGTGACGTTGTGATGTATCTTTAGGAGGATGTGTATGCAGAAAGCTAACCTGTATTCTCAAATGTTGAGCAGCCGAGTGCGCGTCCGTGACAGAGGAGGATGCTGTCAGCTAGAGAGGCTCTTAAAGGCACAGATGCTGCTGCGCGTCCACACAGGACTCTGTACAGTATACGAGACAACGAGTGGTAAAGCTACACGTACATTATCAACACGATGTGCTGTTTTAGAATAAAATGCTGCACTTACTATCGTAAAACAATGCTCTTTCTTTATCTTTGCCATCTACATTTTTTTAGCCTAAAATTATCGTCAGACCTTATAATTATGACGCCTTAATAAAATCATCAATGTAAAATAATTTTGTGAAGCAAAAAAATCAACCGAACATTCACAGTTAGGCCTCAATCCAAGCATGCGTGTATTAACGCTTCAAAAACCCATCTGTCTCAGTCTGATATTATTATAATATTATAGATCACTGAAGTGCAGCTCAGCAGACAAGTGACTCAATGAATGATTTATTTCTAGACACTATGAAGGCATTGCGTTTTAAAGATGAAATGCTTTCATATGTTTTCTGCAGTGCACCTTGGTTTGGAAATAACAGATAAAAAACATACCAAATTAACGTGAGGTAAAATTAAACTATTAAAACGAGCCATTGATTGTAAAATGTGTATATGATGGAGTAGACTGCTTGTCAAGCACTAGCTCTGATGCTCTGATAGCGAGTCTTCTCCTGGAGGGTCAACAGCTCTAAGGATACAGTGAACTACATCTGCCACTATACACTACAACTGGTTTCATCAGGTGAAGGCAAGTGTCGCCACAAGGAGCTTTCCAGGAGATGGCGCCATTGACGTTTCATGTCCACAGACGAACATTATGTACAGAACTCTGAGTAAATTCTTACACTTTTTAAAACCTGTCTGTTTTTGCTCAACGGCCACAAAAGTACAGCGGCTCTTAACACGTGTAGAGGGGGATCTGCCAACATTACAGATCAGGCTGTTCCGAGTGATTATTCGTGAATTAATTGTGACCAGGTCTAAACTACAAGTTGGCTGCATTTGATACATTCCGTCTCCCGGTGAACAACAACCCACACAATATATTTGTACAATACATTTGCTATAATATTTATGATTGAAATAAACTACAGCTCTATTGATACAGGTGGCTTGTGCTGGCTGAGAGCTCTCCAAGGTCCTGAACCAACACTGGTGCTGAGGGAAGTAACAGGAAGCAGAACAAAAAGCCCCCCCCCCCCCCCAACAACATTACACTGGATGTAAATATGTCTGTTGCATAATCTAACATGAGAGATGGGACCGCGGTTACCAGACTTGCATGTGAGAGGTTTTAGTTTGTCTCCTTTCGATACAGGAAGACAATGTCAAATAAGGCATGTTGTTTCGTAAATATCACTTTTTAAAATCACTTCACACATTTGCATTGGATTGTGGGGACGGTAAAGCAGTCTGTTTTCTTTGTAAATTAAATACTGCCCCCCACTCCCCCCTCTCCTCTTTCTTCTTCCTCCCCACTTTCTCCCTCTCCTCCTCCCTTCTCCCCCCTCTCTCATCTTTCCCTTTGCCGTCTCTTTATCCCCGACAATAACAACATTTGGCCACGAGTCACCAAGCCCATTCGTTCACATATCCACATGAATAGCTCCTCTCCACCACCCTCCACCCCCCTCTCGTGCTGCGGGAATGGTTTAACCCGTTAGCCACAGTGAGCGAGACAAGAGAGCACAAAGAAAGCACCCACACTGGGTCGAGTAAGGAGGGATGTAATAGGAATAGCATGATGTAAACACGGAATAAAAACCGCAAGGCAGCATTTCCATTTCCCGTCGCACCGGTCCATTATCGGCGTTCAATATTATATGAGGTACGTTCGTGTAACGACGGCGCGTCTGTCTGGGCGGCGGGAGGCAGCCAGTAAGTGAGACATTTGTAGCCAAGAGGAGTTGAGCATTGTTTCATTCTCGCTCCAGGCTTTTCTGTAGTTGCTCGCTGTCTTTCTTTGTTGTTGTTTTGAACCGAGCCCGGTTGGTTCACTGAGATCATGCTGCTGGGTGTTTCAAGCAGGCAACTGGAGATTCTCTTCTTGTTTTTTTAAAGTCAGTTTTTTTCTTCTTCTTCATTTTTGGACTCGGCGATGACAAAGGAAATATACGCTGATATGTTGCATTTTTTGAGGTGAGTTCTTCTTTATTCACGTCAGTTATGTTCTGCTTTAACACGGAGATATTACTGAGTCCTAAGTACAAAGACTAAAGTGTAACGTTTCGTTCTGTTATCTCCACCCAACACCTTAATCGAACCACATTTCATACTGATGAGACGGTCCCCGACAGCTTATTATGTTGCCCACATCCCCTAATGCCCATCACTGTAATTGCCTTTGAAAATTAGACCCACGGAGGACTATCTCCTCTCCTATTGTTTCCCCTCTATTGTTGTCAAACCGCTGCCTCGCGGAACATTTGGTGCTCTTACACAAGGCGCGAGCGCTTCCAGACCGCTCAACGGTCGCATATCAGTGACAGCCAGATGAATCCTTCATGATGTGTGGCAATTAATAAGTGAAAAGACTAAACTCTGAATTTGATACCCCTGTGCATAATTGGTTTGTACAGCGTGTAAACAGTGGCAGCCAAATTGATTTGCACTCGCAGGAAGTCACGTGCACATCCCATTCAAATCTATCTATCTATCTATATCTATCTCCCACCTACCTACTGTCATTAGGAGTTTATCCAAAAAACAAACCAGAGACAGAGGGAAAACATGTTGTCTCTCCACCTCCTCTCTTCTTCAGGGCAGTAATAGCACATGAAACATCTTCGTAATTAGTAGTTTGCTTTAGCGAAGAAGAAGTAATTATAGACAGCAAGCCTGCTGAGCTTACTGTGCAGGCATTTTCTTTTATTGCCTTTGTTAAACATGCAAATATTGTCTTTCACCCTGCACTGCTCTGAAAATGGCACAGCTTGAACTTGTGTGTTCTCTCTCTCACACTTCTGCTGTGCAAGATATAGCATTATATTCATAAAAGGATCAAAACAGAAAAAGAGTGCAGTTTTGTGCTCCATATTTGTTCGTGCTAATAATGGTGTGTTTGTTGGTGTGTATGTGTTTGGTACTATATGTGAGGGCATTAGTGAAGAGCTGTGGTGCAAGGAGGAGACACAAACCAACGAAAGAAAAGACATGTTACTGTACACACATACTTACTTTTATATAACAGGAAAGGGTGAGAAATACAAGAGAAAGTATGATTATTTGGCTGGTATGAGCATCGTATCTCATTTAGAATTACAGAGGATACGGGTCATTCTGGCCCTCTCTCGGCATAGTCTATTAGAAAAGGCAAAATTACAACATTGAGCTGGATTTCTCCTGAGATACAATGATTGATTTCCAAGGTTGTGCAGTGTTTGAATAGAGGATGCAGAGAAAAAGTCGCCATGGGAGAAAGCATGAATAAGATAGAGTGTTTAACAGTGTCAAGGAACCACTGTGCAGCCAGTTACTGACCGTGCTTTTGTTTGACTGAGTGGTGCACTGGAGAATGCACTGGTGTCAACCCACAGACGTTCTTACTTTGTAGAGCTATGAAATCTTTGAATGGGGCTCTCCGCCAGTTTGTGGTTAATTTCCATGGGCCGAGCTTTGCATAGCCCCAATGAACACGTTCAGAAAATGGCACGGATCTTCATCATATTTCTTTACCACCATTTACCAGATAAAGCATGGCCAAGCATGCATTTTTTTAGGAACCCATATTTACATTCAACCCACAGTGCACCAAGCTTTCTCCTCCTAGCACACTGTGCTGCTTCACTGGAGCGGTTAAGGGTCGTGAACCAGGGCACTGTTACAGGAGGTAGTGAGCAAAATGAAAGTGTTTAACATTTACTTTCATTTCCAATGATGTCCAAAAGGTCCAGTCGTCTAAATTTCCAGCCGGAACCCAATTCCTCTAATAGGCCCAAGTAGTTATTCTGGTTGACAGGTGTTATTCCAACACTGACTCCTCAATGTTTGATTAATGGCAGCTCTTGATGTCGCATTTAAATGTCAGTGCCGTGTAGTGATTGGTTTGGTCTGTGTTTTGAATAGGATGAGGGGATTCTGAGGACAGAGGACTTTTAAAGGCCCATTGAAAACCATTTTAATGAACCCCCCCGTATGGTGCCTTTCAGATAGTAGACTTCGGCCAAAGCGACAGGCTCGGAGTTGATTAGAAGTCTGACCAGAATTTAGAAAGTGTGTCTCTTTGATGATATTTTTCTCCGTGGCTGACAAAACTGTGCGACAAATCATTTGAGGGATAGGGTTCCCAAGGATCCAGACTTTTACTTTTAACTTAATTTTTAACAAACCATGATTCCAGTGTGGAGAGGAAAGCTTTCAACTTCACAAATATTGTTTCAAGTAATTGTGAAAAATGGCCCCGCCGCCCAGTATTTTGATCATAATTAAGATAGATCTCAGACAGCAACACGTCATAGATCTCGGTGTTGAGCGGATGATGGTTACCAGAGAGACTATCATTCATGCATGGATTGCCTATGTTGCTACTACTGTGCTTTGATGACAGCTTATGTAAGTACAGTGAACATAAGCCAAAAAGACAAAACATCTACAGGGGTTTCTCTGTCTGACAGAGCTCATCTGCAACAGGCCCCATTGATTTTGTTGTATATTAAAGAGAAAGATGGATGGGAGGTTAAAGAAGGCGGACAAAGAAAGAGTGAGGAAGGACTGTGAATATTAATGGAACGTACTAGAGCGATAGATATTAATAGTAAAGTGAAAAGAAAGATGGTAGGAGGTAAAAAGGTCGAAGGGGCAGAGTTATGACGAATGAAAAGTGGGGACTGATATGAATACAAACACAAACAAAAGTAAAATAATTACCATACAAGAAGAATTGCAGGGTGAAGAAAGAGATGAGGGGGAACAGGAAGGGGGGGGAGTTAGAAGGGAAAGGATGAAGTTGATCCTAATCCCATTAATACACCACAGTGCTGTCTTTCCCTCTGGCGTATTCGTGCGCGCACACACACATACTGGTGACTCACACTGGTCAGATATATTGTTGTTTGTTGTGCAGCTCACCAATATGCGGTCTGGACATCCTTTTACTGATTTGAGCTCAATGTATGCTAACTGTGCGCTGATCAGGACGGGGTCAGTGCAATGAGGACAGCTAGTTTCAACCAGATCTGACTCACAGCGTGTACGAGCCCTTTGGCAATGTGGCGCGTGTGTGTGTTTTGGTTGTCGTGTCGATTTTGTAGCTAAAAAAGTCTCTCCATACCGTCCAGACACATCTGCTGCATCTGCCAACGCTTATGTTCTACACTCATACAATATCTGAAAGGTGTGTGTGTGTGTGTGTGTGTGTTCTGCAAATGCAGAAATGTGTGTTGAGTGTACAGTATGTATGCACCGTATGCGTTGACTGCAAAGACAATTATGACTATTAATGATATCACAACACGTGTGTGCCAACACAGGAACATATCAACAAGCAAATAAATAGACCTGCAGCGCTACAACTGAATGCAGTAATTCAGGACGGGTCTACAGAGAGACAGAGCTGTGAGCAGCATGGCTAATAGAAAGAGGGAAAGATAGAAGGCAAGGACAGAGAAACTGTGTATGTGTGTGTGTGTTTGTTCCTATATGTGCCACAGCCTCTTAATATCCTGTTTTCACACCATCACAGACTAAATGTACTGTGTGTTTGCTACGGGTGGGAAGGTATATTTGATCAAGTCCTTTCACACTAAAGTGAATTTCTAACTTACATTTACTTTAAGTGCTATGGTTACAGGCTACTTTGCAGATTGTGAGTTAAAAAATCTATACACAAACATATTTGTTCGAACAACTGCAATACATGTTGAGTATTTGTACATTGTAGAATTTATACTTTTACATAAAAGATGTAAGTACTTCTTTCCCCTCAGGTGGTTGCGGTATTACTCTCACATTGTTGTTCAGCAGCTGCAGGTCTCTAGTGCATTGTGCACACAAGGCTGTCATATATTTAGAGGAAAAAAAGTAAATTATTCTTTTATTGCTGGCGGGGAGCAGAAGAGGCGTAATCAAGCAGCATGAAGATGATTATGTAGGAAATGAAGACGCTGTTAGGAGCATTATGTATTCATCTGAGCATCAACTAGATTGAACCTCAGTTACATGAATACCTGTAAAAAGACATTGCTCTGAAAGTTGTTAATTTCATGCATTTCCAGGGTTATTTCATCGTGCAGTCATACAAATAGTTCTGAACAGCCACCATCAGCTCATGAGGAGACATTTGGAAAAGGACAAATGGATCCATGTGGGAGACAATTTCAACGCTGTGGCTTGAAGTGTAGGTCTAGTGCTCGGAAAGAGAAAAAAAGAGAGAGAGCGAAAAAAAAGCGAAGTAGTTGAAAGCAACAGTGAGATAAATGATGCTGGAAAGAGAGTCGGTGAAAGACAGAGAATGAGCTGTAATCTGATTAAAGCCTCTTTACTCCCCTGTCACCTCACCTTCAGGGCACAAGCAATGACCGAGGCTTAGTGGGGGATCAATGCTGAGGCCACCAACATGTGGGCGGAAACACACACACACACACACACTCTCAGATCACTTCACTTTAAGTGCTCCGAGGCTGCCCACGGTACACAAGCATCATCTGAAGATACACCTGAGATCACTGCACAGCAAAGCAGTTTCTGTTCATACTTTGCTGTTGCACTTCATGAGCAGTTTGCTAAATGGATGGGTAGACGGACGAATCGATGCATGGAAGGGGATTGGGTGAGAGAAGGATCAGCTAGAGATGAGGACATTGTGTCTTGAATACTTTCCTCTCTCAGGATCTCGTTATTGTGTTTTCTTTCTACGTGCATTTGTTGGTAGGCGGTTGCTCGAGGGGTCTTAAGGTCACTCAGACACCTCAATGGATTTGTAGCTTAAAGGGAGAGAGGGAGAGAGAGAGGGAGAGAAGGAGAGTGTGAGGAGAAAATTAACAGCTCCCATACAAATCACCTTCCTGCCTTCAAACCTAATGACCCGGGCAACCAAATGACCCAGGCCGAGAATGTTTCTGAGTGCCCTCTAGTTAAGTTTCATTCTACAGTTACAAAGAAAGGCAAAGTAAATGCACGCATGCACGATGGATGGGGTGAGG